ATCTACATGACAACCAACATACATGATCAAGAAATTAAAAATAAGTCCATCTAAGTGGAAACTGAAGGATTTACTTTCAATTATCCTTCCAGAGATGCTAATACAGATTTATCCTTTAATATTAAAAATGCACAAATTATACCTGTCATGATGGCACAGTGGTTAAAGCACTTCCCTTTGAATCAAAACGTTAGAGGTTCAAACCCACCAGTCCCTCTACAGGAGGATGTGGCAGCCTGCTTCTGTACACATTACAGCCCTGAAAGCTCTATGGAGCAGTTCCACTCTGCCCTCCAGGCTTGCTAAGAGTTGGAATTGACTCAGCAGCATTACGATGGATTATTTCTTGGAGTGAAAATCCAACTAGCGGTGCATCACGGCCCAGAGTTCAGGCTCAGGCTGTCTTCATGCTGGCTTGCTGCAGCAGAAGAAAGCCAAAATGCAGCACAGCTCTCAGTGCTGCATTAGGGCTTCATGGTCATGAGGATCTTGTCAAGCTTTTAGAAACTATTTTCAAGACAGTAAACAAGGACGTCCATGAATTTGAGGCCAAGAAGAAGACATTATTTATAAGACATTGCCACTTTGAAAGACTTCCAGAAATGTACTGGACTTATAATTCCTATTTCTATCCAAAAGGTTGTATTTTGTTATCATCAGCATTATTACTAATACTAGAATAGAGTGGAAATACCATATTATTGTTAGATACTACTCAAGTAGAGGGAGGATGGAGGCAGGGCAGTAAGGAGGGGAATTCCAGAGAGAGGGAGGCATGGAGGGGGAAAAGAAAATAACTATGAGTGAGTGAGATTCAACAAACCATGCGAGAGTTTGTGTCACAGGCAATGTGAGAAATCAGGATGAAAAGTAAAAGCAGGCTAATAAAGCTTTAGAAGAATGCATAAATGATTTTAAATGGTTTCCAAGACCACTGCCAAAGCTAGGTTGTCGGGTGGTCATCAAGAAGATGGTGAGAGTGTCCCTGACATCCTAAGGGAAGAAACTGGAGAATTAAGGACCAAAGAAAAACATGGAGTTGAGGGGGAAATTTTTGGGAAAACATAATGACTGGGCTAGCTAGTCTCCTAAAAAGTTAGTCTCTAAAACCCACAAGAGCTCACTATAAGTCAGCACTGAATATGGCAGTGAGTTTGGTTTTTCGGTTTTTATATATCAATATATATCAACATATAATGAACTTCCACAAATGAACAACACAAAGACAAGCCCCACAATAAAAAAAAATGGGCAAAAGACTTGAATGGCCATGTCACCAGAGACTACACAAATAGCCAACAAGCATTTAAAAAGATGCTCAGTTATTAGAAGAGATGCAGATCCAGACCACAAGGAGGCTATTCCTCCATCCACTGTAGAATGGTTATGACATCACACACTAAAGAAAAATAACAGGCTGGTGAGGATGTGGAGAAATTTCGAGCCTTGTCCGTTGCTAGAAGGGAAGTAAAATGGCATCCCCACTGTGGAAAGTTGGGCAGTTTCTCAAAACGTCAAACACAGAACTGCCAGAGACCTCGGTGACTCCCACCACAGCTACATACCCAGAAGTGAAGGCAGGACCCTAAACAGAGACTTGTGCAACCGTGTTCGCAGAAGTATTTTCCACAATAGCTAGAAGGTAGAAACCTGAATGTCCAAAACCAGATAAAGGGATGAACAAAATGTACTATAGACATATACCGGAATATTACTCAGCCACACAGGGGCATCAGAACCCGGTGCACATCACAACGTGGATGAACCCTGAACACATTGTGCTCAGTGAAACCCGTCTGTCACAAAGGGCCAAATGCCATACGATTCATTTACACGAAATAGGTAAATACATAAAGACCAGAGTTTTCAGTGGTTACCAGAAAGGGCTGGGGAGGTGTATAGGAGGCACTAAAGTAATGAGAGAGAGAAAAGGAGAAAGGTGAAGGGTGGTGACAAGAACTTGGAAAAGGGCAGCGGTGACGGCTGAGTAACACGGTGAAAGTAATTCACGTCACGGAGTCACACTTGTAAGAACTGCCGAGCTGGCAAATGCTCTGTTCTACCCTTTCACGACAACTACAAAACAAAGGACAAGAGCGAAAATAAAAAAAATAACCCACAGTCTACGGAAAGGGGAAGGAACAGATGAGGCAGTCCAAAGGCAAGGTGCAGACATTAGGAAAGAAAGAGGGATGAAGCGGAAGTACAGGGCCAGCGTGAGGTGCTGATGGTGCACTGGAGAGTCTGGGGGCTGAAACAAAGTGAGGGTACACTGCTGACTGTGGAACTGTGGGCCTTCACCTAACTCGCAATAGAGAGTTCCCGAAAACACAGTTTCAGTGGACAGTTCCCGTGTGGCCATGGGTTGGTTCTGTTCCTTCGGTTTTCGTTGAGAGGCCGGTTTTCTCTCCTGTCCCCATCCTTCAGAGCCATGCACAGTGACCACACCTATGCCCAGCCCAGCCGCTCAGAGCTTCCGGCCAGTTTCCCAAAAGGAAGTAGGGATGCCACTGAGGCAAATTAAGATGCTTTTAGGTGGGAAGTAGTTGAACATTTAAAGACTTCTGTCATGAGTCAGAACTCATGACAACCTCATGGGTGTCCCAGTAGAACTTGCTCCATGGGTTGTCAATGACTGATGTTCGGAAGCAGGTCACCATACTTGCCCTTTGCAGCACCTCTGGGCAGACTCCAGGCTTCTCAACAGCGGCTGAGCATGTTCACTGTTTGACCACCAGACTCCCAATGCACATGTACACATTGATACCTCAGTTGGCTCAGGATGGCTCCAAGCTCCAACTTTTCACTACTCGAATTGGAAAGTTCAAAAAAGTCTGTGCAGTGTTCACAACTTTGCTCCTTGGGCAAACCAAAAATCTGGCTTGAAAACACCTGCACAGGCCAAGCGGGGGCCCGCATCACACCTCGTCATGGACACAAAGGGGTGACACTTCAGTCTAAGGACTGCTCCCGCTCAGACAGCATGTAGTGCTTGTGTTAGTATCTTAAAATATTCATCACTGTGCTTTTTTGTGTGCTTTATTTGCATATTACACTGTAATCGTGGCTCCAAAGAAAGTCAGTGATGCCAGCAGTAACTCTAGCAAGAAAACTGCGAGAACCCCGATGAACTTAAAGAAATAAATCACTGTAGAATCTGAATCAGGTTGCCACTTGTCTGTTTTGGCAGCCGAATACAACATGGCTAAGTCGGCATTTTTGGGGGCAAAAAATGTGGTTAGCCCAGCTATTGTAAGCAAAAGGTGCAAAAACAAAGAACCAACCTCAAGGAGGTTGAAAAGTTAGATTTATCTGGACAAATCAGAAACAACTCCATGGTGACAGTGCATGGAGAAAGTGTTAAGCAAGGAGGCTAACTGCCTCCATAGTGATTTAAAGTCCTGGAAAATGAATTTTTAAGTGTAATTTTGGGGCCTCAGAACCAATTATTTAGTTTTCCATTATTTCTTATGGAGAAAATACGTTCAGTTCTCTAACTTTTTGTTGTTTGAACGTGAATTTGGAATGAATTGAGTTCCACAACCAAGGTATCACTGCATAGTTATTAAATGTATAATCTCTTCATGGAAATTGTATGCCTTTTATTATTTAAAACAAATTAAAAAAATAAAACTGCCCAAAGGATTGTATACTAACATTTTGAATGAATTAAAAATTATTTTCTCAGGATCAATATTGAGAGTAGCCATCAGGGAAAGGTGGGAGGAGATAGTGGGAATGGATCATAATGATCTACCTATATCCCCCTCCCAGGGGGATGGACAACAGAAAAGTGGGTGAAGGGAGACATCGGTCAGTGTTTAGACATGACACAATAATAATAATTTATAAATTATCAAGGGTTCATGAGGAAGGGAGAGTGGGGGAAGGAGGGGGAAAAATGAGGAGCTGATACCAAGGGCTCAAATAGAAAGAAAATGTTTTGAAAATGATGGCAACAAATGTACAAATGAGCTTGACACAGTGGATGGATGGATGGATGGATGGACGGACGGACGGTGATAAGAGTTGTACGAGCCCCCAATAAAATGATTTTTTTAAATGATTTTCACCTTTAAAATTTTACTCTCAGAGTTTTTTATCCCACTTTATAGACTTGGTTTTAGAACCTAACCACGTTAGATATAACTGAACCACATCAATTAAATTCAAGTTGTTTTAGAAGGGTAAAGGTGCCATTAACACTCTTGTACCTGCTGCAAAAATTCTTAAAAATCTCAAAGACAATCCTGGTAAAGGGCTTAGATTTCAAAAATGAGTTGTGCAAATCAATTTATCCATTCAATTGTTGCTGGAAAAGTAGCTACTTTAATACTTCACCATATTCCAAGGTTTGCCTAAAAGGGGGGTGGGGGTTCCCCTCTTTCTCTCTTAGTTTTTTTAATCAAAACGAATGCAATGCTACTTTCTAGACACCACACAGTGGTGTTCGGATGCATCATTGGAAGGGAGGATAGTCAAGCTACTCCAGAAGATACAAGATTGGGGAGTCATGATGAATATTAACCCACCTTACAATGACATGCGCTTATAATAAATATTTAGTTCTTTAAAATTATTCATTTTTAAGAATCTGTACATTTGTACTTTACTTATGCTTATCCCAAATAAACGAAATGTCTTATTTATTTCAGAGACATGATTCACACTGGACAATGAAAACATGCCTAAGTACTTTTTACAGTAATATTTCTATGGAAATAACAGTGTTGGAGTGACACTGAAAAACCTGTTGCTACTGAGTCAATTCCGAAGCATAATGACCCTATAGGACAGAGTAGAACTGCACCCTTCCTTCCCGCCCCCGTGGCATTGCCAAGCCTGACCATCTTCATGGAAGGAGATCGCCTCATCTTTTTCCCACAGGGTAGCTGGATGCTCGGTGTGACCCACTGACCTTTCTGCTAGTAACCAAGTGCTCTAACCGCTGTGCCACAGGGCTCCGTGGTCAAGGCCCAACTCCTCATTCAGTGTGACCCGCTCACCGTTACTCCACAAGTAAGCACATTAGAATTAACACTGGTTTCTTGCAAGTATTATACTGAAAGGCACATTTTTATTAGCCATTGTATTTTAAGTCAACATTATTTTCTTTTATTCTTTCTCTCCATATATACTACAGTCTGATACTTTCCCAAAGTATTTTTTTTTGGTGGGGGGGAGAGTTGACAAAGAACTAGAAAACAAACTAAAAGAACACTTCAAAGAAGACAGCTGTGATCAGCATCTCTGCTCAGGAATGAAATACCAGAAGCGTAAAGGCACCGTAAGCACTTAGTAATTTAAAGAAAGGCCATGTTCTGCAACTACAATTTAAAACTCCCCCAATATAGAAACTTTTTATCAGTTCAAGAACACAGCCAGACAATTTAAACCTTAGATGGAAATTTTGTTTTTTGTTTTCCCCAGAACTGCTGAAGCACAAAGTCACTCTTCGCTTGCATGAAATATAGAACAGCAGCCTCCTCCACCCCTGTAAAAAATTAACTTACTGCATCTTTTTCAGGATTGCAAACTTTCACCCAGAGAATATGATCCAAAAGCCAATCAATGGGTTTCTCCTTATAAAACATAAGTATGAATTCTACAATCAGACTGAGGTCTGGTGCTTGAAACATTTTACCTGAAAAGATATTCCAAGTCAACAGAGGTGCAATATGGAAACAAAGTATCAACACAGCTTAACTACATGAAATCGATAGTACGCTTGTGCTTTCAACTGCAACGATCACGATGTCTTCCCACTTGCAGTATCAGCCACACACGCAGAAACAGTGTTCCTGTGGGCTACCATGTGGGTACAAATGAGGCTCGACAAAATCTATCAATCAACCACTGGCTCAAAAGATTTCCCTTTTGTATTTCATTAATAATCTTCCCATTAAAAAAAGGAACATGAAAGGTTGCAATGAAGATTTTACAAAACTGAATCAATTAATGCCACACAAAAAACCAAACAACAACAACAACAACAAAGACACCAGATTCTGTTTTTAATGAAATCTTGACAAGTAACAATGTTGGTTTTTTTTTAACTTTTAAAGAAGTTTTGCATTAAAGGGTAAGTGAATTCAAAGATATAGCTTCTAATACTTAAGAGTTTCTGAAGCAAAGTTGTATAGCCTACTGCCATGGGGTCCTGACTCACAGCAACTCTGTATAGAGTTTCTCCAACTAAAACTCTGTATAGGAGCAGACAGCCTCATCTTTCTCCTGTGGAGTGGCTCATGGGTTTGAACTGCCAATCTGTTAGTTAGCAGCCCCAGGCATAGCCCATCATACCACCAAAGCACCTCTAAAATTACTGTAGAAAGTGGAATGTTGTCTTTTGGATGTTTTTAACTTTAAATGTCTGAATTTTCAACTTTACATGTACTCTTTTTAAGCGGCTTATCTGGAAGTTTGTTAAAGTTTTTAAATGAACACCTCAACTAGTCAAAGAAAGAAGCAAATGAGAAATCAATCACTGAACTACAACTTGCTGCTGGCCATGAAAATACTAGGAACCCACACGTGCATCTTGACGGTGGCACGCCCCTAAAAGGCCCTCATCTTGCAACTGCCCAGGGCTGTAAGGGAAGACCTAGAAGTAATAGAGAAGCTAAATCGCGGGGACCTTGGTAGGCTCTGTGTACACATAAGGCAGTAGAGCCACCTTGTGGAATTTTAGAATAAGTACTCAAACCTTAGAAGTCTCTGACCTCTATTTGGGGTTGATTTTCATTATTTTAGGACCCTTACTGGCACAGTGGTTACATGCCACTGTGTAACTCCCTGGGCCGCTAGCCTCCAGGTCAACAGTTTGAAACCATGAGCCACTCCCCGAGGTAAAGATAAGGCTTTCTACTCCCATTAAGATTTACAGTCTCTGAAACTCACTGGGACAGTTCTACACTGTCCTATGGGTCGTTATGAGTCGAAGGCAACTCGATCAATGGCAGTGAGTTTGTTTCTTGTTTCATTATTTCACACAAGGTTTACCTCCTATAAATGTTTGCAAAAGCAACTTTCCCCCCCCTCCGTAAACACACACACACACACACACTTTACAGTAAAATAACGGTTTAATGTCTTGAAAATCAAAATTATTTTTTAAAGTAGATAAATTGGATGCTTTCTCTTACCAATGAAGCCCAGCTGGGAAAACTCTAAAATCATCCATTCCTCAGAAGAAAGTTGAAGTGCAAAATTTTTTATGGTATTAAAGTAATTCTGTTTGGCAATAATATCATCTTCAAGCTAGAGAAAATTGAATGACCATATTAACCAATCACAAGTGAAGGGGAAACTTTATTATTATACACATTAAAAATCCCACTAAGATGTTATAATGAAAACCAGGAAAACAATGTACACATCAAAATCACTATTATTAAAAGAAAATGAGAAGAATAAGATGGAACACAAACAAAGGTGGTCAACGAGCACTCCCTGACACAGGAAGTAGCCACAAGCCATCCCATGAGTACTCCTTCTGCGTCTCTGTATGCAGCCCACGAGCCTGCTTCTTTTCAGGAAAATCACTCTGCAGGCTTTTAGTATTTTTTCTTTCGTGATAAAACATGTATCACATCCCAGAGAAGGCCTAGCGGCCTTTCCTTCTCTGCCTTGCTCACGGAGGTGACCACTGTTCAAAGTTGGATGCATATCATATACCTTCTGTATATACATTCAGCATATACAGTATATATATACACACACACATATATAGTATTTACCCCCCCTCCCCCGTCTATTTTAAACTAAAAACTGCCTTTTTTCCGGTTCCTATTATGATAGATATCACTCGAATTACTACACATTTAGAAAATGGTCCATGGGATCGATACTATAGCTACTACTCTTAATTCACCATCTTCCCTCTGGTCCCAGGCCGATGCCTTTTCCTGGCACTGTACACAATGCCACAGCCAATGCCATACCTCCCAGGGTGCCTTCCATTTCCTCTCAGGCAGACTGCCTTGTTCTTCTTTCCAGCACTAAAGCAGCGGCAGCCATATGCAGAGCTCCACTTCACCCTGTATGCCCCGCCAACCCCATCTCATAGCCGTGCTGGGTAATTTTACCACCCAGTGGGTGACAAGGAGACTGAAGGCCATCAAGGCTCATGAGCATATGCTGGGCTTTCCTACCCAGACTCTCCTTTCCTAAGTTTTCAATATCGTGAGACTGTTTTCACATTGTAAGACAGCTTTTCCTTTCTCAATTTCACATTACTATTTCCAGTTATCTGCTAAGTGGTTTTTTAATATTTAATTATTAATTTAATATTAAATGTTGGGTTCTTCATATACTTTGGTACAAGCTTCTTTTCTAACCTATCAGTGAGGAAAATATCAGTATTTGGAAAGAAATGATAATGACTGAGTCTGCTAACATCTACTGAACTTCTACTAAATTCCAGACACTGAATTAATCTCTGGTCTTCATTAGTGAACAGATAGGATATGTTTTTTTAAGTTCTCAGGGCTTCTGGGGAAAACCACACAAAATATAGAGGTTGGCTAGCACCTAACTCTGTTTTCTGAAAGAAGAGATACTTGCACTCAATATATTATTTACTGCATGTGTCCAAAGAGAAGATAATCCTGAATATACGCAGTCTGAAACTTTCCCAGTAAGTACATTAAAAAAACAAGTCTGGGGCTGATTGAAATATATAGGGATGTAAATGAAATAGTCGAATGCTTATTTAAATATTAATACACTAATTTCAGCTACCATACATACTTAAAACCACATTTTTTACATATTAATTTAGAAAAATTGTTTTGTTCTGCTCTCACATCCCATCAAATATTTAACAAAGCAAACAAAACAATTTTAAGATAATAGTATATTCACAAGCAATGGTAAGCAGGAATATAGAGATTTTAAGTGTCTTTCACCCAGCTTTCCCCGCCGGTATCATGTTCTGTAACTACAGACCATGAGCACAACCAGGACATTGACCTAGATTTACTTTTATGGCCACAGTTACCTCCCACACTTTCTCCTTTATTGCCCATTCCTGAGCCCTAGCAACCAGTCAGTTATAATTTTGTCATTACAAGAATACCACTACTACACACACACTTTTCATTGCGATCCATTCAAGTTGCGGGGCATTTCGATAGTTCATGCCTTACTATTACACAGCATGGTCTGCCAGGGAGTGGACTCCCCTGTTTAATTTTTGACCCACTGAAGGGGATTTGGGTCATTTCCAGTTTGGGGCCACTGCAAATAAAGTTGCTATGAATCGGCGCGTACAGGTTTCTGAGTGACCACAAGTGCCTCTCTAACATCAGTGCTTCGTCCTGGTAAAAGCCATTCTTTGAACAGTCTAACATAACTCTTTCGTGACTGCTAGTTTACAGAGAAAAGCAAAAAATATTGTTTCTGCAGTGTATATGAGGAGAAACTTTGTATGTGCATATTCACAAATGCACATATATAAGTACACACCCAAACAAACAAAAATACAATAAACTACTGCCACAAAATGGATGGGCTCATAGATTTCCTACAGAACAGAGCAGTGCCCCAGTGGGTTTCCAAGACTGCAGTCTTTACTGAAGCAGGCTACTTCTTTCCCCCGCAGAGCAGCTGGTTAAGTTTAAACTGTCTCTTTTGGTTAATAGCTAAGTGCTTAACCACACAGCCAGCAGAGCTCCTTGAACATACATCTAGAACTACACACATTCAGAACTAACATTCAACTAAGGGCTGTCCCAGCTACCGGGATTTTCCCATCAGTACCAATGAACTCTTGTCTGAGTTGTAGTTTTGGGGCAAATATCGTCGATGTAGGAATACTCATAGGGTTCACCTTTGTAATAATGAAACATTGAAAGGAATCTAAATGACCAACAATAAGGTTGTTATTATATCTGGAAAAGGGTACTGTTAGAAGTGATAGAAATTAAACAAACCTGTAGTTACCTGCTTATTAAGGTATCTATAATAACTGGCAGCAAAGCAGATTTTGTAATTGTACAAATGGTTCTATTAAATGAGTAAGTCCAAAGAGCAAACTGTAAAGTACAATGTTTCCACTATGTTACAACAATGTAACAATAAATGTTAGTTCACAGCTACCTCATTGTTATAATAGCTGATGGACTGATCCCACTGAGGATCCTATTCTATAACCCCAGTCTTTTCTTACTTTTCCATGTATTTACTTCCTGTACTCCATTTTTTTTTGGTTCCATTAATTCTCTTCTTAAAGAGAAATTTATAAAAAATTTTTATTTTAAAACATTAGAGGAGAAATATTATATACACACATCAAAGACACATGTAAACACACATCACAGCAAACAAAAACCCAACAAACCTACTGCCATAAACTGATTGACTAATAGCTACCCCACAGAACAGAGCAGAAGTGCCTCGTCGGGTTTCCAAGATTGTTTTCATTAGAAATTTAAAATTTTTTAAATTAAAAAATAACAAAAGAAATTTAAAGTTAACTTTAAAGCAATAAAGAGAAATTTAAAATAAGGTTTAAAAAGTAATTCTAACTACATCTTAAAATTCTCTATGTAAAAGTGTTAGAACATAATGTAGATATTTATATATTGGTCCTAAAACAGAACAGCAAAGTACAACTACAATAATCTTTGGGTTATGTTTTTGTTTTGTTTTTTAGTGTTTCCCTGTGCGGGGCCCCACACTCGAGGACTGGGATGCGTCGCTGAAAGCAGTGTCAGTTTGGAGCCCTTAGAGGGCCGGGCTGTCAAACACTTCCTGCTTTGATGTTGCCTCTTTCTTTAAGGGTGTAAAAAGCATGAAAGAAAAACCCACACTTACCTGGATATAATATATGCCCTTTTCCTGAGCATACATCATTAGAAAACAATAATCTAAGTTTTGCTTTGTTCTCCATCTGAAATAAAAATTTTCATGAAAAAAGTTAGAAATCACACTTAAATTTAGTAAAATAAGATTACCTGTGTAAGCCTCAAATATTTCTATGATGATATTGTATATGTGTGTATGTATGTGTGTATATGTATATACACATATACATATGTGTGTGTGTATATATATAGATATATAGAAATATATTAAATGTAGCACCACTAGTCAATTTTGACTCACAGTGACCTTGTAGGACAGGGTAGAACCATCCCTGTGGGTTTCTGAGTCAGTATTTCTTTATGGGAATAGAAAGCCTCATGTTTCTACCATAGAGTGGCTGGTGGTTTTGATCTTGTGGTTAAGCAGCCCAGCACACTACCCACTATGGCACCAGGGCTCCTCTGCATGTATATATATACATACTACATGGTAACCCTTAGCATAGCGTCAAAGAGAGGGTATTTTGCTCTCAGGAAGACTTTATCTAAATGTATCCCCGCCCCCAAACACCAGTCTCCAAGGTGTCCTGAGAAAAAAGGACTCTGATGCCATGTGAGTGTGGGAAACACTATGCAAACGAAGAAAAGGAAATGGACTGGCACAGTGGCTGCAAGAACAGGCTCAGCCCAGCAGCAATGGTGAGGGTGGCGCAGAACCAGCCATCACTGTTGTACATGGGTGGTCACTATGAGCTGGGATTGACTTGCAGATACCCAACAGGAAATGCACATGTTCCCTGCCTGGAGGCTGATAATGCACATTAGAATAGTAAGGACACTAAAACATCCAGCAGTAAAGATACTGTGGGGGAAAAAATTTAATCCACATTTTTAACCTTTTTGACCACAGATCCTCTTTTTAGAAATGTTCTAAGTGTCAGAGAACTAGTGGCTCAAAATATTTCCCCTTGGGGATCAGAGCTCTGGTGCCTAGGACTGTGTCTTGTGTACAGGTAGAACTTAATGATGCGTACAGACTCTGGGAAGAAAATAACATTAATATATACAATATTAAGTCCTTTCAGTGAATTCCTGGTAACCTACAGAAAACACTAATGCTGAGCAAGACAAGTGGGGCAAAAAGCCAGTTTAGAAAAACACACTAAGTTAAAAGTTTTAAAAAATACAAAGTAAACATCCTCAAAATATATCTCAAAAACTGTTCTGAATTAAGACTTTTGTATCAAATTAGGTCTCAATGTTTAAAAGCGGCAGTAAACAAGAGCTATATTTATCACGTATTATACCCACAAGAGTAGAGGGCTTTAAATAATATATGGCTCACCTTACTCTTTCTTTTGAGTCTCCAAATGTCTCCTTTAAGTTTGTCAAGTTAGGATAATAGCTTTCAGGAGGTGAAATTACTTCCACCAGGCCAGAACTTATTTCCTTAGAAAATCTATCATGAAAAAGGTTAGCTAAAGTTACTTACATTCTGTGGGAGTTGACTTATCTCAATGCTCAACTTACTGGGTTTAATATAAAACATATCAGTAACCATTTGTAGCATGATATTATATTCATTTATTTACCAGAAAATACAGGTTATTCTGATAGCACTTAAAAACAACCACCACCACCACCAACAAAACCTTTAAAAACACTCTAAATCAGGGGTCCTAAAACTACAGCCCACGGGTAACATGCAGCCCTCCAAAGACATTTATCTGGCCCGCGGGGTGTTTTTGCCCTGTTTGCTATTTTACTTCAAAATAAGATTATGTCCAGTGTGCATAGAAATTTGTTCATAGTTTAGGTTTTTTTTCAACTATAGTCCGGCCCTCCAACGGGTCTGAGGGACAGTGAACTGGACCCCTGTGTAAAAAGTTTGAGGACCCCTGCTCTAAATTGTCACTCTCCTTGTAGATTAGCATAGAAACCCTGGGCCAATTACAAGCACAATCTAAGAAAATAGCAGAACTTAAACAACTTGAGGTCTCCGTGAAAAAACAAAGGAGTGAAGAAAAACAAATGAATGTGTGTGCGTGACTAAATATGCAGACAATACAGAGAGAGAGAAGCTTTTCAATTTACAGGAAGCGCTAGGAGCCACGGCTTATATATCAACCTTAACTAGTTTTCTTAAACTGGGGGCAATTTTGTGCACTGTGGAACATTTAGCAATGTCTGCAGACAGCTTGGTTGTCACTATTACAGGCAGTCTTACTGACGTCTAGTGAGAGGAGGCCAGCGATTCAGCTACACATTCTACGAGGCACAGGACAGCAAAGTTTTATCTGGACCCTATGTCGAAGTGCTGAGGCGGGGTCATTTCTTTCACATTCGCATTCTTAGTTGCTTTACTTTCACAAATCACTGGAAAACACTCATGTAACTACACACACACACCACCCCCACTCACCCCCTCCCACCCCCCCACCACCACCTCATGCCCGTTTCCCCACACTGAGTGAATCAATAGAATCATTGCATAAGCCCCACAGACCTGCCCATGAGGCCTGGGGGAGGGGGAGCAGCAATAATTATTGCTTTATTTAAGGAGTCTCTACTAAACCTGCTTAAATAAATAAAGACTGACATGGAATTCAGCACTTGAGGAAATTCTAACAAATTAACAATTTAATCTTAAACTGTATATATTACATAAAAAAACAAGCCCACAGATTTTAACATTAAGTCTATAATGGGCAAATAATTGCTGCTTCTCATTTTTCCTTTCCAAGTTAAGGATGTGCTGCTGTGTGGGGTAAAAACAGATGCAATTCCATGAAGAAAACCATATTGAACACCAATTTTCATATTATTGTAACTACTAGGGCAATATAACAAGAATTTTTAAATTTTTCTTATTATTCTAAAACTTAGGATTACTAAAACTTACTGAGCTTTCTATCTGTTACTACTGTGGGCCTTGCTCATAGTGAATTGGTACGCTATCTTTGCAGAATGAAAGAACGGATTTAGACAAGGTTCAACAATGAAGTTTGAAACTACTACATGACTATCAGCCTAGAAACATGAACATTTTTGCTCGGCAAATAAGGAAAAGGCTGATGTAAGTAATTACATAAAACTTCCTATAGATTCACTGCCTTCAGGATAAAAGATTATTATTGATATGTCAGACACTGAGAATTAAGTCTCTTCTAGTGTATGTTACAATGCACCAATTTACCCCATTGGGTAACTGGATAGATATGCACTACATTATGACAGTGGAATGACCTATGGATAGCTGGTCCAATGAACACTGGCTCCACAGGAAGAGGAACTAAAGGAGGGCACTCTTTTAGCAGGAAGCCCAGATAATAGTAAATAAGGTATTTTCATTTCCATTATAAAGAAGAACTTACTCTTTCTCCAGGTTGGCTACAACAGTGTATACATACTCGGCATCTGTCTGGGAAAGAAAAAAAATTGAATGCATTTATGTTTTTCTATTTTTCACTTGTTTTTAATTTTGAACCCAAAATTAAATAAAATGATTCAAGCATTACATGACATTTTCAAGCAACTTCTGATTTGTATTTGTGTATTGTACCACTGCATGCTATTGAGTACTCACAAGTACAGGTAGGCGGTTTTTAAAAGTCTTGGAAGCACAGGGGCAGGTCTACCTTGTCCTACAGGGTCGCTATGAGTTGCCATTATTCGATGGCAGTGAGTTTTGGAGATGTCAACTACTTAGACCCACAATCAATGTTTAGGGAAGCAGCAGTCAAGAAAACAAAGGGCACTGCATTGGGCAAATCTGTGATAAAGTGTTGACGAGGAAAGATGTCACGGAGAGATAATTAAGGTGCACCTGACCCCAGCCCTGGTGCTTTCAATTGCCTTAGATATGCCTGTGAACGCCAGACAATGAATAAGGCAGGCAAGGAAAGATGCATGTGAACTATGGTGCTGGCAAAAATACTGACTCTATCACGCACTGTCAAAAGATCAAACAAATCTGTTTTGGAAGAAGTACAGCCAGAATGCTCCTTAGAAGTGAGGAATGCAAGACTCTGTCTCCCATCCTTTGGACATGTCATCATCAGAGGGACCAGTCCCTGGAACAGGACATCACAGTTGGTAGAGCAGAGGATCGGCAGAAAAGAGATGAGCCCATGATAAGATGGACTGACAGGTTTGCTGCAAAAACGGCTCAAACATGGCAATCTTGGGAATGACATGGGACCAGGCAGTGCTCTGTGGGACATGGGACCACAGCAGCGGCAAGGCTGAGAGTCCACGGCAGAGGGTTTGTTTTAAATAGGGTACGAACTCGGCTGCCAACCAAAAGGCCTGTGGTTCAAATCCACCAGCCACACTGTTACATCCTAACTACAGAGGGGCATTAATCCTAGAAATGATTAAATTACTGACTTATACAACTCTATTTTATAACCAATTTCTTAAAAAGCAGTCAGATTTCTGTTAATTAAAATTCCAAATTTTATTGTTGAAGATTTAGGAGTGAGATTGAGACAAGTCTGGGTAAAGGTTGGGCTTTTCCGTCTCTACATTCTGACTCCAACAGAGACTACCCTAGGCCAGAATGGACTGATTTTTACAACCTACATGATGCAGTGGGTTATACGTTGGGAATGGCAGTTCTACCCTGCCCTACACGGTCACTATGAGTTGGAAAAGACTCGATGGCGTGAGTTTGGCTTGGTACATTTTGACAGTACCTAAGTTTGGAACAGGAGTCTTGGCATAGTGAGTTATACATTGGGCAAGCTAACCACAAGGTCGGCAGTTCAAAACCATCAGTCACTCCTTGGGAGAAAGATGAGGCTGTCTACTGCCATAAAGATTTATAGTATTGAAAACTCACAGGGGCAGGTCTACTCTTTCTTATAGGGTCACTATGAGTTGGACTTGGTGGCAATGAGAATCTTGGAACATTTAAACCCTTATGTCCTTGTGAGAAAATGTACTAGCTTGCTCCCTCATCCCAAATCCTGTTATTGTCTAATGTGATAATTAAGTTTTCTGTCAGCTTGACAGCAGAGTTCTCCCCAATGATGTGATCTACTGTGAGCAGCACAGCAGTTGTGGGAAGATTAGGGTAGAGAACACCCCTTACCCCGTCACAGCCTTGATGGGGGTGTGGCCTAACTTCATATCGAAGCTCTCACTGTGAAAAGCTTATTCCCTTCTTGCTGCTTTGGCTCACTGACCTCTAGTTCTCTGGACTTGAGTAAATGGCCTGACATATTGCCTGCCAACCCTGAGAGCTATTAGAGCTTGCCAGAGCCTGGCGTGTGAACCATGGATTCATCCACTTCTGCATCCAACAATTGGGGTCTTCCTTCTTCATCAACCCTGGCAGTTATGTGAGTAAGGATAAGTCTCCAGCTTAGCATGTGAACATAGCCGTGAAATGACTAGACTTATTCACATCTATAGTGGTGGGACCTTTTCTTGATATAAATTTTACATCTATAGCTATAATCACTGGTTTTGCTTCTCCAGAGAACTCGGCCTATCACACCTAAACTTTGACTATTTTAGTCTGCATGTCCTTGTAATATAACATGTGTCTTAGATTGCTTACTCTACAGCTGTGTCTCCTTTATGCCACCAATCCCCTTTAAAACCTTCCCTGGTTCCTTTGTTTGGAGAGACGTGATCTGCATTACTTTAAGGCTATCCATGTCTTCCCTGGCAAGGTGCCCTTTTCTCTTAATAATATGCTTTTCTTGTGTGGTAAGCCTCCTCCCTGATTTGTTATGCCTACTGACTAGGGGAGATAGCCTTCAATTGGAAAGACAGTCTAGTAACAAGATTATCTTAAGACTACATCCTTCAAATTCTTAACAAAGAATGATGGAGCTATAACTGAATACAGCTCAAAACGTTTTTCTTTCCTAGGAACTTCAATATTACTAACCTCTTTGGAAATAAAAGATTATCCACTGTTTAACCAATAAGTATCATACTTCTTGCCAGACTATACATTTGGAGAGTATGATCTAGTATGGTTCATATAAACTTCAATATGTTCAACAATAACCTGAAATTCCAACTAATTGAGGGTCAGTGATTTGCCTGCCCAAGGAAGCAGGTTTACAAAGATAAATGAGACAAGTTCCCTATCCCCAGTAGGCTGCCTAAGCATGAAATGAGAAGGCATATGCTTATGTGAATGTGATTTGTTATATAATATGTAATACAATTTATGAAATAAAGTGAATGATATACATTACTATACCTTAAAGTACTGTAAATAAGTCACTTTTATATAACAGAATCAAGCATTTATGATACTAGCTGTGGGAGCAGTTTTGTGATTTCCTAAAGAAACTAACCCACATCTGCCCAAGAAACACACAGTCAAGCTAATCTTTGTCCCTACTTAGCGCTCCCTGGGGGCACAGTGGCAACTTATGCTTAAAGCCACTGACTTCAAGGTCAGTAGCTTGAAGCTCCCAGCCCCTTTTTGGGAGAAAGACGAACCTGTCTACTCCTATAAAGATTAGGGTCAGTTCTGCTCCCTCTTACAGGGCCACCATGAGCAGAATCGACTCGATGGCAGTGATTTGGGTTTGGTTTGCTTCTCTCTCCTCTTGAACGCTGGCACCAGTCAGGAGATCACTGTGTTCTTGCACATTTCTCTTCTTCCTGAGCTCTTCTTAAAGGCATGTAGAGATCTTTTTTAAAAGGTAATGCTATCATCTGATTCTGAGGCCCTCTCTCTGTATCTAAAACTTGGAACACGTACTCTCTAAAGAATTTAAAGGCAGAAATCGAGTCAATGGTACCTAGCAACAATAACAGCCAAATGACAGGCTTGGGATAACTGGGGAGGGAAACAGGCATACCACGTAAAAGAAGAAACCACATTTCTTGTGGAGAATCAAGTGTTCTCTACGGTTAACCGCGCTTCAATATTTTTATTTTAAAACCAAATGATATTACTGATACACACTACGACATGGAAGAGCCTTGACGACATGCCGAGTGAAAGCAGCAGCCACAGCCACAGCAGACGGACAGCCTACTGTCTGATTGCACTCATGTGAAAGGCCCAGACCCGAGGGCCGGAGGGCATGTGTGATTGAAGGGGGACTGCTAAAGGTTACAGCGTTTCTTTGGGGGTAACAAAAATGGTTTACATTGACAGATGGTGGGGACAGTGCACAACTCTGAAAACACTAAAAGCCGTGAGACTGCATATTCTTCATGGGTGAATTATATGGTATGTGAATTATATCTCACATATAATACAAGTCATACAAAAAAGAAGGTAAAAAACAACACTGACTGGCAAAATTCAATGTATAAAATAACAACCACCATTTCAGGATGTGCCCACAGCACACTCTGGGAGCAGAGATCATTCAGCTCGTAAGGACTGAAGAAGTGTATGAGGAGGATTAAAAAATGCCACGGCGATTATTAACAATTCAACACAGACACACCAGAATCTTCTTTGCTTAAGAATCAATGTTGCCAGTGATGTAGAAATGACATGAAAGTGGTAGATAGATGTAGTGGTTCAATGCCAGTCTGTGGTACTTTTAATCGATATTTTATATAGCCTCATTTACAAAGAAATAAACCTTTGAGAAATGCCATAGCAGGCAAGGAACTGCAATAAAGTCAACCGTTAGCAGAGAAACTTTCTATGAAAAAGAACCAATATGTAAACTGACTCCTACCATTTTTGGAACATGCACTAGGTAGAAGATAGAATGTCCTGTAGAATTACCAACGAATGCAGTAGAAAGCACAATAATATATGCTTACAATGAATGTAGCAAAGACTAGGAGGCTTCAAAAAGTTGCAGGGAAAATTAATCATCTTTTAAATCATTTTCTCATAAGCTTTGAAGTCCCTTTGTGTATTAAAGCTATAAATGACTACTCACTGTGGGTTAATAGTTGAAAAGTTTTCTTTTATAAATAAAATTTGCCAAGTTAGTGATTTTTTCTTTAACAAAAGGAAAGATGATAAATGAAGTTGGAGTGAAGAAACGCTTCTGTAACAAATCATAGGAATTAATTTCCAGTGTGCTGTCAAGGCGCTGTGAAAGGTAAGCAATCTGGAGCAGGTACTGTCTGCTCCCACGGTTCCCACAACAGATGCAAGGAGACACTTCCTAAGCTTTCTGCCTCTCGGCTTAGGACAACCCAGATTGAACAGGGGAATAAAAAAAGAAAGATAAGCAAAGGTGGTAAATATCGGAGACTAAAGGATGCTGTAAAACAAACAAGTTACCCAGATAGAGGTAGCGGTTTTAAGCACTAAAGAAAAAACATGAAGCATAAAGCAAAAAGGGCTGAATTTTAAATAATTTGAAGAGAAAAAAAAAAACACTTGGTTTCAAAAAATGTTCTTCAGCTATAAATTTACCTAAATCTACATTCTACTCCCTTCGTTCTGCTGATATGTACCTGGTGACTGTA